TGTTTAGATATATCAGTTGCCTGATTAAGTGGGGATGGTGGCTGCTAATGTTGACTTCTGTTTTGATAGCTGTAGAATACTTGGCTACTGCTTGTGGCTGGTGACTTGTGTTCTGTAACCTTAGTGACATGATGGGCCACTTTGTTTGATATACACCTTGCCACAAGAACACAAAATCTTGTAAGCACCCGAATTTTGAATCGGAAGTTGCCAGTCATTGGCAGAACTGAATTGGGGGACATTTTGCACTTGGTTTCTGTATTATGTGCATGTCGTGTTTTTGCTGTAGCCTGGAGATGCAATCAGTGGTCCCTCGGATATACGAGCGGAATGCTGTTTATTTTTTCTGGCAATTCACCTGGCCGGTCTGGGTTTGGTTGTAAGTAGCCCTTTACAGCAGACAATCATTCATCTATTCCTGGCACGCTGTACTTTGGAGGGAATAAACTATGAACCATGGGAAGTATCTGACAAGTGCACTTAGAGGTTATGTGGAAACAATTTATATCTGCTTCAAACTTACTAGCAAATTGCTTCATACATATGATATCTGTCATTTTGCCTCTAAACTTCATAATGAAATTTAATATGACAATTATGCGTTGGACAATGGAAATCCAAACCGAAGACAGACAATAAGTGCGTTCCAACAATATCACAGATTATACACATACTGGCGATATCTGTTGGAAAGAAGAGGAATTTTGTGTGTGTTGTTAGTATCTGTGTTCTCTACCATAGCAGCTGTTTTGCAATGAGAGTGTGGAGTGGGTTTTGTATGTGTTAGTTAATACGTTGGCTAATGCATTGAACCATTATTTTCACGTGTTTTCTATATTGAGAATGGTAACTTAAAGCATTTACAATATGTCACGTCATAGAATTGTGCGGGCAATGGATTATTCCGAAGGTATAATTTGCCGTTTTACATGACAAGTAAATACTGGATATATGGGTTTTCAGTGTTCTATTACAAGGGTGCATTGCCGTACAGCATTGTGTAGCCTTTGTTCCTCATTGAAGAAACAGGTGTTTGTACGCTGCTTTCAAATTTTGCTTTGATATGCTATGAAAAGCATGTTGGTGCTATCAATAGGTTCTCACGATGACGATAATCTTGCGTCATATAGTTAGTAGAAATTGACCAACGTTTCGTAATCAGGGTGATGAGACTTGATTATGGAGGCAGTAAGGACATCTGATGCACAGCATAACACCCGAGAAGACGATCATCTTCAGAAAATTACGTTTTAGTTCTTTTTGCGTCGCTGAGGTGAAGAACGTCATGGACCTATCCATGTTTGCCTGTCGCTTATTTCATCACACACTTGTTAGAATGACCTTGGATCACATTATTATGATATTGAATCATTTTTGTATTTTTTCCTTCCATGTGTGCACAGGGTAGTGCCTCCTACTGGCTTCTGGTCTCGGTTGCTTACATTCATGAACAAAATAGGTACTTTCCATTAAGCTTTAATCGATGTCCTTGGTGCAGAGTCGAGACATCATTAGTTTGCATGATGTCCACTTCTGGGATGAATTCGTCCATGATCTCAGTGATGAGCACCCAGATGTGTAAATCACTCTGCCTCAGAATCAGCAGCACTATCCCCTCCTTCAACATGAGGATGGCCTCCCTCAACATATCACATCCAACTCAGCCACCTCTCAGGCTGTCTTGCAATAGTATCAGGAATGGTGATGATCACAAATATCCCAGATTTGATAGTTACACAGCATAGATTTTTGTATACTAGAGCAGAGCGCCCCTTTCGGAGCTCCTGGAGGGGGGGTCAAGTTTTTAAAAAACTCAACCCCCCGAAGTAAGACACTAAACTAACCCCCCCTGAATGGAGGGTTAAAACACTTGATCAACCCCCCTTGGGGCTTTTTAAAATCTTGAGTAATACACTAAACTAACCCCCCTTCGGGGGGTAGGGGTGGTCAAGTGTTTGGTTGCGTTCTGGAGCAGTGATAATGCGACTGGCTTGATATTTTTTAATTTCTTTGTTGTGAAGCGTTATATTTGTTTACTCGGCATTGTTGTGTTCCACAACAATACCGTGTAAACAAATATCTGTTGACATTGTTGATGACGTCATTTTTTGACGACAACGAGGAATCACAAATTTTTATAGTAGATGTAGCCCTTGGCAATCAGACATTCATTGCTTTTTTTACTAGTACATTATATGCAGAACTAGGTATTGAGAGCTATGATGTTGGTGTCTCTTCACAGTGGCTTTTCCTCCTATTTTACAGTCTTTTCCCCAGTTGTAGTTATCTATGGCCTTCATGCCAGGGCTCTACCAACTGTCTCTTTTGTGCTGAATGATGCCTTTGTATGTTGCTATAGCTGTGACACTGTGTAGGATGTTAACAGCTTGCTCTGCAATACATTGAGTACATGTGTGGCCTTCATGTAGATTGTTTACTTGTAATTAGCAGCTGTCGCAAACTGGCAATGCAGTAGTGCCTTGAGCACATCCATCAAACACAAATGTATCCCATACTGTACAGTATAGACCTCATATTTCCACCATGTTACCTGCTGCTTTAGACACAAAATTACAATAATATAAAATATTTTTCTTGCAGAATATGACGGATTTGATGATGTTTATGGTCATTCTGTGGAAGATGATTACTGCATCTCACCAAGTGATGGTAAGAAATGTAGAAAAGTAATTATATCAGCTGGTAGATTGTGTTGAGCATATATCATTGGACGATGGAAATAAAAAAAACACACGTTTTCCAGTATGGTCCTGTAAGAAGATATCACAAATAGGTTATGGGGATCTGGATTGCATTGAGCTGGCTTAAGATGTGCTTTTGTTTCAGCAGAAAGGACCTTTGGGTTCTGTAATACTATATGTAGAGAGAATTTAAGGGTGTGCATTGGGAGAATAATTTGTATCCTTAACCCAAATCATTTATGTGAATGAAGCAAGAATAGCCTTGGGGGGCATTGTAGAATATGAGGGAATCAACAAATAGATATAACATTTTGGCTAGAACATATCTTTGGAGAAATTTTTATTTGTAGCTCAGCATGATGTTGGTTCAGAACATGTGTCAGATGATAAGATAAATAATGGATTGGAAAGGATGTGGAAGGAAGCAGAATGACCTTTTTTTCTTTTACTCTGGAGGCATAGAATGGAGGGTGAGGAAAAGAGATCTTAGAGAAGTATAATGTGTATTAGATTGATCTAGCTGAGTGTATGGTGTAGTGACATGTTTGTTGTGATAATGATGAATTTTAACAAGTAGATATTGAGGAAGAAAACTGGCCAACCATTCAGTTTGGTTGGTAAGAAATATTTCTTCTTGCTAATCCTTAATTGCAGAAATGGTTATATGAATTTAATTCTGATATTATTCACTTACATTTTAAAATAAACATAGTTTACAGCACAAGATGTTTTTCTAATAAGTTATAATTTCCATTTAAAATCAGGTGTCCAAATATGGTGAGATTCTGATGATGTATGATCTGAAATTACACCTGGTTAATAATAAGAACTGTAATTGCTTGTGTGTTGTAGCTGCTCAGTTTATGTTTGATCGTACAAGGCAGCCTCAGATGTCAGCCTTTTTTAATGAAGAGAATGACATTGCAGAAGAAGATGAGTCAAACATAGAAATTTGTAAACAAAATCATTCTGGCAAGTACCAACGGCCTGATCTTAGCAAGGTGGATGAAGTGCGGTTGCATTCGTGCCTTGAAGAAATACGCAATGTTATTGGTGACTCCATTCCAGAGCACGTTTTAATCAATACAGTCTTGAAGAATGAGTTTAATTTCAATAAGGCACTGGATGCTGTATTGACCAGTGTAACTTCTGCTGCAGAAAAACCAGAAGCAGGTGAATTTTGTTGTATTTTGTATATGTCA